AATTTGGGATTTGGGATTTGGGATTTTGGCATTTGGGATTTCGGCATTTGAATTTTGAATTTGGGTGGCAGGTATATAATATATTGTACGAATTTTGTGCAAATTTTATTTAAAATCGTACAGTACAAAATAGCTGTACAGTTTATCGTCATACCTGTACAATGCAAATCTTGTTATTAAAACTAAACCACATTATCAAGTGATCGTTATACATCGTTGAATAATTTACGTGAACATAAATCAAGTTTACGAACAAGACTGCATATCAAACTTACTTTATGAAGAATATACCGTTTTAGCTGGTGAGTTACATGATCAGTTTTGCAGGAGTATTCCAAAAGTAGATTTCGAACTTGAACTGGTTCTAAAAAAAGTTTTAATCTTGTACTAAAGATCTTTATTATTTTATTATTTTTAAAATTTATATGCTTGGTCTTGACTAGATAATCTACAAGAAAAATGGACAAAAAAGATGATAAGAGAATTTATAGTACTTTTCAGATATTAAATTTTTATATTTTACAAAATATTTTTATATAGGAATTTGAATCAAATTCCACTCGAGATAAAATATATTCCACTTGGCTCAGAAGGAAGTTAATAAAACCACCTCATTGTCAACCAATTTTGATAATAACGGTATGGGACGCAGTTTGTCTTCTTTGGACATGCTACATTATGAAAATGAGGTTATTCGAGGAAATGGACCCGGAAAGATGTTTAGCAAGGATGTTAATCATATTGGCCGACAAAATCACAATGATGGAAATTTATATGCAGGGTCACCCAAGGGCAGTAAATTTAACGTTTTCAACGAAAAAAGGAAAGATAATGAAATTTATATTCGGGACATCAATCTGCTGTAGGTTGGTACTAACACGACAAATGAGAGCAGTAACTTTCAATAACAGCAAATTAGTAGCAAAGTCGAAAGTGGAAATAATGCCAGTATTGGAATGGTGCCTTTCGAATACTGTACTAACAGAGAAAGAATTCAAGGAATGCAAGCATCCTTGGGGCAATTGTTCCGAATTAGTACCTTGGAGGGCACTTCATGGACAACAAAACAGAAGAAAAAACTATGTCATCTTGTTCTCCTGAACAATCACTGTAGAGAAGGATTTAGAGAAGACGATGATACTTCCTCAATGTATCAAGTGTCAACAGCTGGCGGAAGCAATGTATCACAAGGGCGTTGTAACAATTCACTCATGGTAGTTGAAATATACCTGCCACCCAAATTCAAAATCCAAATGCCGAAATCCCAAATGCCGAAATCCCAAATCCCAAATTATGATTAGTATTTTTTGCCAAAATCCCAAATCCCAAATCCCAAATACTAGTAATTTGGGATTTTGGCGTCCCAAATCCCAAATGATTTGGGATTTGGGCAATACGTATAAGTTGAAACGATTGCAAGTGAATCTGATCATCTTCGTGTTGCAAACTCAGTTGGCAGTACAATCTTTAACGAACATCCTCTCAAAAATTGTGTTACTGATATGTTACTAGTTAAAGAGTATGGCTTTAATCACATAATCATTATTGAGGAACGTCCATGTGAAATTCTTTTTCTAGATTGTTATAGTCGTGCGTATGATTTTGTCTCTATGACTCTTTTCTTATGGCTACTTGGAACTTATTCTGAAGAAGCAAAGAATGAATCTCAGTTCAACCCATGGGGAGTCACAATTGGTAGAATTGTATTTGAGGTCGAACACTGTATGTATATAGATTTTATTTGTATTTTTGTGCCTCAGATTAACGCTTGCGTCAGATTAAAACTGGCCAAAATTAAGGTAGAGTTAGGATGAAATTAAAAGGATCAACATAGGCTGGTTTTATAATTCTGGTTAATGGGTGACACCTGATATACCTCAATGGTGATCTGACGCAAAAAGTCGATCTGAGGTCACAACATATTCATCTTTATCTTTTTATAACTATTTTCTTTTTCTTCCAGATTTATTGGATGAACAAAATACCCTTCCAACTACAAAAAGGCATAAGAAAAAGAAAAACAAAAGTTCGAAGTATCATCATATGTGATTACATTAGGCTGGTCAATTCAATGGTTATTTGTTTTGGAAATACATAATATAAATAAAATACAATCTGAAATTACATCCTTACACATGACTAATGCACTTTACTATTCAAAGTTTCAAAAGTATTTAAAGTTTTAAGTTTACTTAATAAGATCCAATTCCTGAAGATGCTCTGGAATAACTATATATGGGTCTTCGTAATATCAAACATATCTTAAGACAATCCAGTTTTTTTCACATAATTCTTTCTTGAGTTGATCCCGCTCTTGCTGTTTGATAAAATTATTGGATCTCTTCTATAAAAAAATTTGGTATATTTTTCATGCAGATGCCCCTGTACTTCTATAACTAGACCATACTGGAGATAATAAATATTGAGTTCTATCTGCTCGGGTATTTGGAGGTTTTAAGAAAATCAGGTCTGCGATTTTTAGATAGTAGCGATCCAAGATATTTTGTTATAATTTCACAGCATAAATTTTCACGCTTATATTTATTACTACAATATGGACACCATGAGCCATGATATTTTATATTAGCAAATGTAGCCTTCCATATATGTCCTTTAGAGCATTTCTATATTAATTTTGGAATGTGCATCTTTGTAATTATTTGAAAGACATTTTCCATTCCGTTTCTGTACTAAATTTTGTATATACTCAATAGTTCGATTACATCCAATACATGACCTTTGGCACATTTCCATCGCAAATAAGATGAACCATTTATATATTTATTTGAAATATATTCTCCACTTTTATTGATTACAATCATTTTAGCAATATCAAGAGTATTCTTAACTTGGCTTGCACAATATGGACACCATGATTTTTGATATTTTATACTGTCAAGTGTTACATTCTATTTATAATTCTTGGCACATTTCCATCGCAAATGGAATTTACTATTAATATATTTATTTGAAATATATTCTCCACCTTTATTAATTGCAATCATTTTAGCAATATTAAGAGTTTGACGAATATTACCTACACAATGAATTTAGATGTTTTATGCTACTAAATGATGCAGTCCATTCGTGATTTTTAGAACATTTCCATAATAGGTAAAGAGCTATTAATGTATTTTTCTGAAAGACATATTCCTTCTCATTACTTAGTAATTCCTTTTGCATTTTCTAAAGTTAATCTTTTTGACATCTTACAAATATTCCTTAGTCACAATTTTTCAAATATGATTTTGCTTATTTACATCATTTGGTAAAGGCAAATTTAATAATTATGACTACTATAGATCTAGAATCTATAAGGCCAATGTGGCGATATGTCTAGATTGTATAAAGCTTATTCATGTTAATAATATAAAACCAATAAAGACATTTCATCATACTAGAAGTAGATATCAAACCAGAACAGTGTTGGCAAGTGATATCATATGACATCGATGACTTGCATAACTTGTCATCGATCATATAGGCATTTGTTATAGCAAAAATTATATGACCAAGTCATATGGATTAGCCAATTAAAAAAAAGATTCATTTTATCATTAATTTGAAATTTAATATTTCTAAATCTTTATTATTTTATAATTATTTTATGATTAATTATTAGAAAAACAATTAGTTTTATAATCAATCATTAGAAATATAATTAGTTTATAATTAATTATAGAAAAAATTAATTATTAATTATTAAGAATATAATTAGTTTATAGAAAAATTATTAGGAAAATAATCAATTTTGATATATGCGGGGGTTCTAAATCATCAATAAAAAGATGGGATAATTCCCATTTAACATTTTGATCATTTGCTGAATAAATATTATATATTTCAATCAAATAATCATCATTCAAAAAATCTCCATTGAGTAATAAATCGTCATGTTCATTTTCAATTTGATTTTCATATACGCATTCATTAATCCATTGAGAAATAATTGTTTTCCATTGTTTTATATCTTCTTTTGTATTGGACTCAACTACATTTTCTTTTTGCATCTCAATGTTATTGTCGTTATTAATATTTTCATCATTACTTACACTGGTCAAATTGTGGAAAATCAGCACCTATCATACACCTATCGGACATCTGATAGATATGCGATAGATACCCGATTTTAAATAAATTTTAATATATCGAGCTCCTGATAGGTAGAGTGAGTGTACTGAAGTTCGGGCACATATCGGGTATATATTAACAGATATCGGACACATATCAGACTTTTTTTTAAAATATATCATACACTTATCGGGCGCCCGATTTCATTTATTTTTTATCAGGCACATATCTTCAATATATCGGTATAGTATATTGGGTATATATCGGTTACTGTATATTCCTCAATATCGGAAGCTTTTTTCTTACTATCGGATACCTATCGGTGACTTTTATTTATATATTTTCA